AACTAACTTCAACTAAGCTAGCACTACTTCATGTTCTTCGTGATTTTTTGTGGCCTCAAAACCAACATGGATGGTGCATGTTATAGTCACACCATAAAGATTAGTCATGACTCCACTTTTACTCTCCTATTAAGGCTCTATTGGTGTAAAGTATCAAGTTATCTTATATTTTCCCATGTTGAACTTAATGATTCTCATCTTTAAGGATTGATTCTACAATAAAGTCTTACAAAACATGAGTATTGATTACAAAAAGTAATATAGCTAATGTCATGTTCAATAAGCTCTACATACTACTTTATGAAACACACATATAGTTTTAATATTTATTTTACTTGGAGAATTGGTTGATCGATCGCCAATTAATGTTTATATAGAATTGAAAGTAAAACCATATGCTCTAGGAAAATATAATAATGGAGACATTAACTTATCTATGGGTGAATATATCTGGTTGTGTCACTTAGGTTATAGCTCTTGTTTCCTACGTGAAATCTTACCCAATTGGTCGCAATGAAATCACTCATTAGCATTCATGAATATGGAAGCATACTCTAGCATCTCTTCCAGCATTATGGGTTACTTTTTTTTTTGCTTTAATGAATTGTAAAAGGTCCAAGTTGAATGTCATCTCCATGATGCTCAACAAAGTGTTAGTAACCTCTCGAGATGCCGATGTGAATGATGAATGCCTATTCCATTTATTAGAACCATAGTTATTGGGGAATGTCTATTCCACTTATTAGATCCTCAATAGACTTGAGTAGGTTGTGTAGAGTACATAGAAGCAACAAATTTCTAAAGACCAAAGCCAAAGCCACTACAACAACAAAAATCCTTATATGCTTAATAAGGTCACTAGGACCCTTATTATTGTTAAGTGATGAAATCTTTGATTTCTTTGAAGAATTATCTCTTAGAAGTTTTGATATTGCCTCATACTATATGACAAAGAAATGAATTATGAATATTCCATGGAGCACTTTCCCCATTTATTCATTATATGAAAAGTTATGATAGAGGTAGAAAGTTATTCAACTAAAACAAGAGTGAAAGCAAACTCAAGGATAACATTCTAATTATTAAAAAATGTATTAGCCAAATTTGTAAAAAAAAAATATTTGAGATATTTTATAAAAAAATATTACGATTAATTGAGATAGATTTCAAAGTTATTAGATTTACACAAAAATTAGTGTTATATATAGTATCAGAAATTGAATTAATTTCAGCGCAAATACAAGAACTTTGAAGCCTATACTGATGAGTTTTGTATAATAATATCTTGAGCATTTTTTTTCACTTACATTAAGAGCAGTGTTATCAAAAGAAAATGTTTATTATTCATATTTTCTAAATTAATATTTCTTATTAGACTCATTTTTGTAAACTCATATATTTATTATATGAATGAAATAAGAGTTTTGCGTCCTGAAGTATTCGCGGTGGTAGAAAAATATAAAATTTATCATCTTAGCATTGTACGAAGATCTAGCATGCACACAAGCATATAAGAGAGAGGGTGTAGCGTTCATAAGATACACTAGAGTTTTTATGTGAAACCCCTAAAAAATGGGGAAAACCACAGGGCCTGACCCAGTTTGAATGAATCCACTAGTATTTGCAGACGATTACAAATGAGGCTCTTCTTTGGGAGAAGGCGTTGGCTTGATGCCATAAATATACGGCATACAGAACGCATTACATGATGGGAGTTACAATAATCAACATAGACATATTTGTTTGGTTGTAAGGGCCATAGTCAGCATGAGATAGGGGTCCGAAAGATCATAATTGACAGAAGACCAGGGTAAGAAAAAACTATTGTCTAGAAATGGAGGTCGGAAGGACCGTGGTAGACAATGGAGGATAAAAAAGACCATAGTCGGGAGAAGACGAAAGACCATAGTTGGCATAAGACCATGGTCAACAAGACTAGTAGAAAAGCAGTACTCGGTAGAAGTTCGGGCATCATGTGATGGTCTGACAGAAGTCCGGGCATCAAGTGTTGGTCTGATAGAAGTCCAGGCATCAGGTGGTCGTACGGTAGAAGTCTGGGAGATAGATGATGGTCCAACAGAAGTTCGGGCCTCAGGAGGTGGTCCGACAGAAGTCCATGTGTCAGGTGATGGTTCGGCAGAAGTTTGCACGTCAAGTGATGGTCCAGTAGAAGTCTGAGCCTCAGGTGGTGGTCTGGCAGAAGTCCAGACATTAGGTGGTGGTCCAGCTGAAGTCTAGGCCTTAGGTGGTGGTTCAGCATAGTTCAGGCGTCAAGTGGTGGTCCGATAGAAGTCTGGGCCTCAAGTGGTGGTCCGGTAGAAGTTCGAGCCTCAGGTGGTGGTCAAAAGAAGTTCGGGCATCAGATGGTGGTATGGCAGAAGTTCTTAGCCTCAGGTGATTGTCCGATAGAAGTCTGGGTCTCAGGTGGTGGTCTGGAAGAAGTCCAGGCATCAGGTGGAGGTTCAGCATAAGTCTAGGCTTTAGGTGGTGATCCGACAGAGTTTAGGCATCAGGTGGGGGTCCGATAGAATTTTGGGCCTCATGTGGGGGTCCAGCTGAAGTATGGGCCTCAAGTGATAGTCCGGAAGAAGTTCGGGCATCAGGTGGTGGTTTGGTAGAAGTCTTAGCCTCAAGTGGTGGTTCGATAGAAGTCCGTGCATCAGGTGGTGGTTCGACAGAAGTCCAGGCATCACGTGGTGGTCCGATAGAAGTCTAGGAGTCAAATGGTGGTCCGAAAGAAGTTTGAGCCTCAGGTGGTTGTCAGGTAGAAGTCCGGGCCTCAGGTGGTGGTCCGATAGAAATCCGGGCATCATATGGTGGTTCGACGGAAGTTCGGGCCTCAGGTGGCGATTCGATAGAAGTACGGGCTTCAAGTGGTGGTCCGACAAAAGTTCAGGCATCAGGTGGTGGTCCGACATAAGTCCGGGCCTCAGATGGTGGTTCGGTAGAAGTCCCGGCCTCAGGTGGTAGTCTGGTCGAAGTCTGAGCCTCAGGTGGTGATCCGGTAGAAGTCTGGGGAGTCAGGTGGTGGTCCGATAAAATTATGATGATCCGGTAGAAGTCCGGAGCATCAGGTGGTGGTCCGGCATAAGTCCGGGCCTCAGGTGGTGGTTGGGATGAAGTCTGGGCCTCAGGTGGTGATCTGGCAGAAGTCCGGCGGGGCGTCAGGTGGTGGTCCGGCAGAAGTCTGAGCATCAAGTGGTTTTCCGGCAGAAGTTTGGGCCTCAGGTGATGGAGCAACGACATCTCCTGGTGGTCCGGCGGAGCAATGACTTTAGGCGGTGGTCGAGGAGGAGTGAGGAGGCAAGAGCGATCTCCATCTCCCTCTTGCTCTTTTACTTGGAGCCCCCATTTTCAAGAGAAATGAGGGGCTATTTAAAGATTTTCTATAGTGGCATGGCCCGTAAATAAGTGAGAGATCAAGGGTAAATGGGGAGTGGTTGGATGGGCGGCCGATATTGAATCTCTTAAGTAAGGATCGTTTGATGGACATTTGAATGCTTAAGTGATATCAGATTTTGGTGATCTTGGGCTCATTGGATTCGTATCGTCGAGCTGCTCGCTTCAACCATAAGCATGTTATGTTTGGAAAATGTTAGATAATCCAAATTGTGGTTCAAGATAATTTTTTGATGATGTATCAAGAGTAATATTCAATGACAATGTTAAGATAATAATTTGATTATGTTTATATATGGACATAAATAAGTTTCTACACACACATGATGATGATACATATATATTCTAGAATTTGTTTTTAGCAATTAAGTATATTTAAATTTCATCTAAGACAACTTTCTTACTACTTTATAAAGTAACTTTTTAGTATAAAAATTTTTTGAACTAGAAATTTTATTATGAAAAAATGCTTTAGAAAGCAGTTTCAAACAAAGTCTTAATATTTGTAATAACTCATATTCAATAAGATAAATAACAAGATTAAAAAAAATTTCAGCTTATTTACTTAACCAGATCAACCTAATAACTCATACTCAACCAAGCTTGTTGTGAGTTTATATTTGACTCGTTCAAATTTTCATATATTCTTGCTCAGCTCGAATTTAAAATTATTCATAGATATTGTATTTGTATTTGACTCATTTGAATTCAAGCTAAAACAGCCAATTTTGAGCAAAATGAAAATAAAAATGAGTATAAAATAATAGAATAGTTTTACTTTACTAATAAATAAATATGAAAAATTTATAAAATTAATATTATTCATTTATTTATTTCAAATAAATAATGAATGGATATCTAATCAAATAAGGTTATTTTATGTTGGGCTTAATAAGAAAAAAGAGCACAAAACTATTCAATATCAGCTCATTTATTTAACCACAAATTAATTATGAGCTTCTTAACTAATTAAACTTAAGCCATTTATGGTTAATGATTTTGTTAACAGTTTTAATCCTAACTAACACTAATTAACAAAAATTAAAAAATTGAATTTATTTAAATATTTATATATTTCCAGATCTGGCATTGTTGACTAATTGAACACATGAGGTGTACAAAATGCCGAGGATCGGACGGCCATTAACGAACCACCTCAAAATTGCACATAGTCCGATAAGATGGCGACAGGGGCATAACCGACAACTGGTGGGGTCCACCACGTCTAAATCAACTGTTAGGATCCCCCTTATCGAAGGATCAGATGGCTACAAAGCCATTCCAATTACACCGTACGATTAGCTCATCATGGATCAGAGCCATTGGCTGACGAAGCACGCAAGAAATCTTTCCCCCTAAAAAATAAAACAACGGGAAGAAATCGGTGGCGGCGGCAGATATACTCCAGTGAGAGACACTATCATTTTATAATAATTTTAAAACTTAAATATGTTATATATAAAAGTATTTCAAGTACATGTATGTACTTAGAATGATGTCATACAACCACTGGGCATCCAAATTTGTCCAAATGAAATGACATAACGTGAATTACAAAATTATCCTTATGAACAATTTCTTCATAAGAATATCATATGGTTTTCATAAAAAATAGTATAGAACTCCCCCAACTAAAAAAAAGTTGTAATTTTTAATTGATTCATCAAAATAAAGTATAATTTAAGGGGGTTACATAATGATGTGATGCAAGTTGGATGTGATGAGTTCAAAAAAATGATATTTTTAAAAGATAATTTTATCTTTTTTGCACTTTACTCCCTCTTTTAATTTTGCTTTACAGTCTCTCTGTTCCTGGATGGAGAGGGTGGAAGGGAGGAAGAGAGAGAGAGAGAGAGAATGGCTTCTCTTGATGCTTAGCATGATTGAGAACACGAGGGGGTTGGGACCATAGAGAGAGAAAGTGATGAGGAAGCATAAAGATGGCTCCTTTTATTATTATTTTTTTTCTCAAAGAAATATCCAAGAAGCTGTATTTGGCTAAGTTCAGGAAGACAATCTCATTCTACAAATAGCAGAAGAGAAAGCACTCCTGCAAGCCGTTTGATCGAAGAGAAAACGCTCTGAGTTGAGAAGGTTACATGAAGAGAGAAGAAGAAGAGAAAAGAGGATCAAATAGATCGCAGATCGGGATCTGATCTTCCTTCACAAACAATTTTCTTCCTATCTATCTCTCCCTTCTGTATTTATTATTATTGGATCGATGAGAGTGGGCTGACAGAAGAGAGTGAGCACACAGCGTTGAAGACTGCATCGACGAATGCCGTTCTTGTTGCGTGCTCACCTCTCTATCTGTCAGTCAGCCTTATTATTGGCCACTTTAATCGAACCCGTAGCTCTTCTTTCCTCTTTAGGTTTGCTTTTCCTTTGCTTTTCTTCTTATCTATCCATCACATGCCTCAACGCGAAGACAAAACAGAAAGAAATAGAGAGCTTTGTTGCAGAGCATTTGGTTGTGGCTCATCCAAATGGCAGATCAGATCTCCCACTCTTCTGACACGTCTCCCTGGGCTCGAATTTCCACAGACTTGCCTGTTCTCGAGGTGTTAATTTTATTGGTTTCTTCAAATTTGCTTTGGAATAGCGTGAATATATTTGGATAAAGTTGATATCTTGATGATTTTGTAGAAGCAAGAGGAAAAAAATCTTGCCTTGATGATTTTGTAGATTCAAGAGGAAGCAAAGAACAGATCAGGCGGCGTGGGTTTTGAGATAGAGAGCGAGAGGACAAATGGTTTATTCCCCCTCCTCCAACCCAAAAGAAAAAAAAACGAAAATTTTGGGCTCGGAGAGCGAGAAGATGAGATCGAGAAGCGTACGCCTCCTCTGCTCTTCCGTGCTATCTGGCTTAACGGACCCTACTGTTGACCGGTCCTTGCTCCCTCTTCTTCTTTTTAACTCTCTGCCTTCGCTGCCTCTTTTGCTTCTTTCGTCTTCTTTTTCTGTGTATATTTCGTTTTTTATTTCAGAAGATCTGTTCAGTCGCTACCGGCTCTTGAAAGACAAGATCTTTGTCTTCGTGAATAAGGGTTGATGACAAAAAACCCTAATCTAAGCACTCAACTTTCTTCTCTCTCTCTCGCTCGCTCGCTCTTCGTCCTATCCTCTCTTTCTTTATTCTTCTTTTCATCCCAGCAATGGCTTTCTGATAGGAAGAGGAGGAAATGTCATCTCAATAGAGTTGAACAGGTTCGATCTTTACATAAGTCTAGTTTGTCTCTACTTCTATGCTTCTCAGCTACAGTACAATATTCCATGGAGCTTGCAGTTTGTTATTTCTTAGCAAAATGAGTTATTTTTCTGCTTGTTCTTCTTTCTTCTTCACCAACCAAATCTGATAGTTTTTCTACCCTTCACTAATGATAGATTTGTGTACATGATCATGCCTAAGTAAATTTCTTCAAAGTTTTCATAATGTTTGACAGTCTAATGCAGTGAGATTTAGCAGTTAATTAGTCATGTGATTGTGCTTTATCCATTAGAAAGTTCATGGATTCCTTTGGAGTATGAATTATTTGGTTTTAATCTTAATTATTGATGTAATTAAGCAGTTTTAATGCTAACAAACTTTTGTTGAGCTAATTAAGTTTTATGTGGCTCTTTAATCTTCTTGATGGGGTATCATTAATTTTATATTAGTTTCTGACTATGACAAGTAATTAGGGAGATTTAAGACAAAAATGTCATCCTTATGAATAAGACTGCACTAATGCTGTTTCTTCTAAAGCAAATAAATGGGCCTATCTGCTATTGACTTCAACGAATCATTAATGTTGTTTAGGTGCAAATTATGCAGTTCTTGTCTTCATCATTAGTAGAATTTTGTGATATTTTCATAGTTAGTTGAAAAGTAAGACTAAGGCTTCATTTGGGACGACTTTTTTATTGCTTCTTAAAGAAAGTGATCCAAACGAAGCCTATACATTTATATAATTAGTCCTTTTGATATTTAAAAAAAGTAATTGTTCAATGAGAAATAATATTTTGGTCCAATTTTCTTACTTGATTATAATTAATAAAATAGAACTTATAGTTAAGATTTAATTACTTTGCTTAAATATTTATTAGTACACAAACTTAAAGATGTTGAATTATTTTTTATTATTTTGCTACTACTTTTTCTAAATGTTTTTATTTTGTTAAAATGGTTTTAAAGTTTAAGAAGGTTGAAAAACCTAATTTGTTACTCCATGCTCAAGTCCAACAAACTAAATGTTGAGAAGTCTAGATGCTTAAGATTTGTGTAAGCTCCCCTTCCCCCCGGCATGAATCTATAGTTTATTTGGAAGGTATGGTTAGCTAGAATGTCCTCATCATAAACATATTAGTTTTCACTCTTCCATTGACTTTCATAAGGCTTATAGTATTCAAAATGTGTGAAGTATGGCAATTAGGGTTTGAAATTTGTGGAACAAAGATGTACTAATTTTTTTTTTGAATGATTTAAATTGACTTTTATAAAACTAGAATCATAATTTGGTTCTAGAAAGTCAAATCACCTCATGGAAGTCCTAGAAAGTTGAAATATCATCAACACCTAAAAATTTTTTGTTTGATGATGAACTAAGGATGGTGGGATGAGTATAAAAAAAATTAGACTTTTTTTTTTAATTTTGAACTAATTTAATCAGAACTCACACACATGTATAAACTAGGCCGTGAACTCATGGCCTTGTGATTGAATTAGATTCGTCGAACCAATAGGTAGGTCAAAGTGGGTTAAATTGTATGCATAATTTGTTACAACATGCACAAGTTAAAGCATCAATCTATGATCTATGAATATACACACTTTAAACATTCATTGCTTTAACTATTGGAACTTGATTCATAATCAAGATTCAGTTCCACTAAAAATTTGTATTCATTTGTTATGATTCATAGATTATTTGAAAAATATTGGCAGGAATTAGGTTGGCAAATGAACCAAGTAGCCTACTCGAGCTTTAGCACATTTACTGAAATCATGTTCCAACTTTGAACTTGATCGAACCAATAGGTAGGTCAAAGTGGGTTAAATTGTATGCATAATTTGTTACAACATGCACAAGTTAAAGCATCAATCTATGATCTATGAATATACACACTTTAAACATTCATTGCTTTAACTAGTGGAACTTGATTCATAATCAAGATTCAGTTCCACTAAAAATTTGTATTCATTTGTTATGATTCATAGATTATTTGAAAAATATTGGTAGGAATTGAATTAGGTTTGCAAATGAACCAAGTAGCCTACTCGAGCTTTAGCACATTTACTAAAATCATGTTCCAACTTGAACTTGATTAAAGTACTTGTAGTATTGTTCAAGTTCAGCTTCTTTAAATTTATTGCTATTTGAGCTCAGCTCTTTTTTAACCAAACTTGCCCTATCAATCCTATATTAACGAGCAACAATATTAAATAGCTTGTTAGTTAACAACAAAAAAAAAAGCCTTATTGAACTTTTTAATAACCTTCCTAATGAGCTTAAAATAATAATTTATTGATTGAATTGTTAAATAAATAAGTATTTTAATGAGCATAAACAAATAGCTTGTATTCACGCACAAAAATAATCTTATATAGAAAAGAATAAGACTCACTTAATTACATATTAAATAAATTTATAATCAAGTATTAAATAACTATATTATAGCCTTAATTGAGTTTGTTAACGAACTTGTTTAAGAACTCTAAATGAAATTGTTTTTTAACATAATTAAATCAAACAAACTACAATTCTAGCTTGTTCATATAAATTGAGTATTAAAAAAAATGTTCAAACTTATTCTATTAATTAATTAAATGATTTTGAAAAAGCTCTAATTGAACTAAATCACAAGTAACTTGTCGAGCATAAACATCCTTAGCATAATTAAATATATTACTTTTTGCTCTTCCTAGGCTACCATAAAATCTAATATTTTAATATTCCTTTTATTGTGACTATAACCCTCATAAACTAGTGAGATTTATGTAGCCAAGATGTATCAGTAATAGTTTCTAAATCATAAGAATTAATTTAGATTTTTTTCTTTTATTTTAGCACTAAAATATTAAGTTACTTATAGAAAATCAAGCACTTCTTCGAAGCCTAAGTAATTTTAAATGGTCACCAAATTTTAGGAGTATCTAAATAAACCAACTTAAAACCTTATGTTCTATAAAGAATTAAAAATATGAAATAAGTAAATAAAAAAAGTAGTTAAAGAAGCTTAAAATGCAGAGCCATCGGAGCAAGATGGTAAGCTTTTGGTTTAATTTGAAGAAAGATGGTTATGGTAGTAAGAAAAGTGATTAATGTGTACTAATAACTAATAACTACAACATCCAAATTTGTTTTACCTTGATATTTTTGGATACTAAGGACAATGCAAGAACATCGAAGAGGGGGTTTGATATTGTTCGATTGAGGATATTAATAATTGTCTATTAATGTCAATTTGACATCATGCATGAGTCGCCACCACATTTATGTATGATAATATTATTTTAATATTATTATTTTTTAAATTTATGGTGAAAATGAACTTTTCTTAATTGGATTTGCTATGATGTTGTATACATATTATCATTTAGTATTTAATACCTATAATTAGCTTCTCAAATTTCACAAATAATATTAATCTAAATGGGGAACTTATAAATTTCCAACTATTCAGTGTTAGTCAATAACCTTTTTTACTTTTTTTTTATCTTTAATTAAATTATTTAACAAAAATAATTATCCAATTTTAAAAAATCTAAGATAATGGCTTTAAATTGGCTCTAAATTTGAAGATCACTGAAAAAGTAGATCAATTTTCAACTCGGATCGAGTTCACGTTCAAGTTAACAAGTTGACTAATGTTTTAAGCCTGACTTAGATTGAATTTAAATTGAATAAGGCCTAAATAGGATTGAGCTAGTTCAAGATCAAATTATGAAGTATTTATTTGTGTATGCATTTATATTTAAATGAATGCATAAATGTGTCTATACTTTCACTAAAGTTGTTCTTTATTATAAGTCCAAAATCTTATTTATTGACTTCCTAAGAAGGAAGGTGTGCTCAATACCTTTCTAATATTGCATCGAGTAATGAGTAAAGAAGTTATATAGTCATGTTATCACTGTAAGAAATAGCTAAAACATTAAAAACATGTTAACATATGGGTGCTAACTAATAAGGAAGGATTCTTAAAACCCATATTTTTCTTGCATTACCTTGTGTTTCACATCTACAACAAATCTTTTGATAAATCCCTTAAGAGTTTTATCCTCTTCGTGTTTCTATTGCTTATTCTTTATTAAAGTGCTCAATTAATTTGAGATCAATGCATCTCTTTGTTTGATCTCATATGCACTGCTTGAACTACTTTGCTCTAATTCTTGAATTCTGTGTGCTTAAGTTCTTTGTCATGTCCTTCATTTTTTCCAATTTTTCTTTCCTTCTTTTTAATTGGCTTTTTTATTCTATCTTGTTTCTATGTTCTATTCATGAACAAATTCCAAGAAATTGATCAAGTGGAATGAGTTGATAAATTTTTTCCATAGGTAATGTACATAACCTTAGGATTCAATTCCTTAGATAAACACCTAAGGTTTCCTTGTACATTTTCTCAATACTTATAATTTATCAAGAGATGTACAATATTTTTAATTTCAATAAATCTAGCTTGCATATCAAAAATAAAATAATTAAGGTTCATGCAAAATAATTTATAATCATAAACTGATTTATTTATGTTACCATCATGAACCTCATTTGTGCCTTTATATGTATTTTTTAACTTTTCACATTTTTTTTCAATTGTTTTAAATAATCATATATAATAATATGATTTTATTGTGCAATAAAGAATGTTCAATTCCCTTGTTCATTCAAGCCTAGCTCAAATAAATTTTAGACTTTAAATGCGTTTCAAGATGAACTTCGTACTTATAATCTTTAGTTATAATATGCCACATGCGAGGATCTTAACTTTTAAGTAATTCACTTACTCTTCTTAGTTCTTATCATTAAAAAAATTACATTGCCCAAAAATTTTAGTTTGTGCATAGCTTAACCTTTTGGTGTTGTATTAAGATAAAATTCACTACAGGAAAATCACTAATTTCCGGCGGCTTTCCGGCGGTCAAGTTTCTGGCGGCTTTCCAGTGATTTTCCGGCGGTTTTTTCCCACGAAATTTTCCGGCGCAATTTCCGCCGCTAAATTACAAAACCGCCGGAAAAGGCTCAATTTTCGCCGTAAATGGGTGATTTTCCTGTAGTGATTGTTTGTCATATTGTTCTACATGCACTTGCTAGTTAAGTCAAATATCTAGCTGTTGCTCTTATACTAGATGATGGTTATAACACACTAAGAGACAGAGGTGAATTTAGCATGGGGACCCTGAAGGAACGAGCCCCCACTAGTCGCCAAACTAATGCCTAATTAAGGCTAATTATAGATTAAACCTTAGATAAACACCTAAGGTTTCCTTGTACATTTTCTCAATACTTATAATTTATCAAGAGATGTACAATATTTTTAATTTCAATAAATCTAGCTTGCATATCAAAAATAAAATAATTAAGGTTCATGCAAAATAATTTATAATCATAAACTGATTTATTTATGTTACCATCATGAACCTCATTTGTGC